ACAGGTCCTGAACAGAATGGTGTCGCGAGCTCGGATGCGATGACAAGTGCCCCTCGCCCAATCCGTCGTGTGAGATCGGAACACGGCTCCCCTGCCAATACTCCCCTGCTCGCCATTGAGGAGATGAATAACCGGATTCCTCACCTCGATATCTCGCTCTCCCCCTTTACTAGTAATGCCACAAATCCACCCTCCACTGTCTTCGACTATCCGGACCACAATCTCGAGCAGTTTTACTCTCCCGAGACCGAAGGATTGCCGGAGACTCCAAACTTTAACGTGCCGCCAGTCGACTGGTCCACCTTCGGCATATCCTATAGCCCCAACAATGTCGCCACCACATTTAGCCAGCCGCCCTCATACGCAAGCTTCGACAACAACAACAACAACAGCAGCAGCAGCAGCAACAATGCCAACCCTTTTACCCACGCTGGCCTTGCCCTCTCTTCCTCCGGTGAGCTCTCAGAGGTTGAAGATTTCGGCCTCACCTCCAACGTAGGCATATCCTACTCCTGCGCCGACAAACTAGACGTGCACAGCATCAGCGACGGCTCAGAGGCTGGTATATACCGTCTCAGCGCTTCCTCCTACGTAAACTATCCACAGGAGCAGGTGCCAGGATCCTCGCACAACCTGCAATCGGTGGACATCGATTCATTCCTCAAGACCGGCGCGGCACTAAGCCAGCCGCCACAGTCCTTCGATATCCCCGCTTCAACAGCACCGAGACTCAATAATCATTACTCTACCTCGCAGAGAGGTAACGGTGGTAGCGCCTACCCTATTCCCGTGGAGAGCCAGGGTGTTTTCACGGCCGTTGATGATGAACTCGTGCTTGTGTCGCAGGGAGGGTTTGTGGGTTCGGAACCCAGCAATTTCCTGTGGGATCCGGCTGCGTATTCGGTTGCTACCAACGGCCAGAGTGGGGATATAGTCCCACTTCAACAACATACCCAGTGGTTCTAATGTCTACGGTGGCAGTGGCGGGTTGGGGTGGAGACTGTGCTCAGTTCTCTTTCGGCTCCCTTGAGAGCGGACCTCTTCATCGATCGCGTGCTTGTCGAGAGTGAGCCCTTGGTTCATTTCTTGATTGAATTTCCGGTATACAATACTCAAGTCCTGATCATGACCTTGATGACGCATGGTTCTTATGTGTTAAA